ACTAACGTCTGCTGAATCGAGCGGAGACCACTATAACATTGCTCAAGCATACTCCCTCAACAAAAAATCCTCCGCGATAATAAGACCAAAGATGTACATTCCAAATACTACCAAAGGGCTTATTTTCCGAGGTTAGATCTTATCCACTTTGAGGATAGGAGCCTGTACATCGCATTTCGTCCAATCAYACTCGACCTTTTCCTTGTCCATAGCCGTAGTAATTTACATTKTTGTTAAAGCCAAGTTGTCGACACGCAATTTTGGCCTCAGAGGAGCCCCAGTTATCAGAACAGATTGTTCCCTATTCACCATTGTGGTATACTTGAASGAGACAGCCCACAGCATCCATGTCTTAATATCAGGGGAAAAAAAAAAGATTACTCCTCTTATGATTCGTGACAATACCGTGCATAATCATAATGATTATAGATAACATCCTCCGTGTGACCCTTGCAGTTGGAGCTGACAACTCCCAATCCAGCGTGAGGGCAGTCCTGAAGTGAGGCCTCTGAGCCTGTGCATGCCATGTCGTCCAGCCACACTCTGCCCTCCCCTTGTCYAGTGCGCCAGTAATCTACATATTTGTTAAAACCAAGTTGTCTGCATKCAACATTGGAATCCGACGAGTCMCAGTTATCAGAACAGACTGTTCCCCATTTATCGTTGTGGTACACTTGTACAAGACCAGCACCTACATCAGAGCCTATTGTATCAGGTTCAGATAAAGTTCCAGGAAGGCAGAAAGGCAGAAAGGAAGGCAGGCAGGCAGGCAGGCAGGCAGGCAGGCAGGTAGGTATGTAGGCAGACATGTATGTAGAAGGTAGGTAGGTGGGTGGGTAGGTATATCGTTAAGTAAGTTCGTCATAAAAAATTAAGGTCGTGATAATATATAATCTGACTGCTTTGATAACCAGAGCATTCCAAATATTGTCCAGCCACACCCTGCCCTCCCAATGTCCATCATACAGTTAAGTTACAGCTTTACAGAATTGGAATTTAGAAACTGCTTTTAGTAAAGAAGGAAAACCTGAAAAATCGGAGAAAAACCCTACGAAACCAAAAAAACATCTCTACTCACATGACACCAAGCCCGGCAGGACTCAAACCGGGGTTGCATTGATAAGAGGCGACGATTAGCAGCGTACGCCACCCGTGCTTGCCATGTATGCTTCCAGATTGCGCTTCATGATACGGGGGCTTAACCTCTTCATCTTTAGTTCACCTATTTCARTTTTTTTGATTGTACCACTTTTGTCAAGCATTATTCAATATTTGTTATAAACCTTATATCACAAACTATTTATATTCATACCATAGACTTTTGGTCTACACAAAATGTTTATTTTATATAAAGATTTCCCTAACAAGAATAGATGTTGTTCTGTTGCATTATGTAGGCTATGGGTGCTTACCAWTTATTGGAAAAACTGGGAGTTTTGGATTGCATGATAATAGAAAATTCATTTCCTGGAAATTCCATTTGGAACTTGTGGACAAACTCTAGTGGTAGTCATGAATTAGAGTTAAAACAAAAAGAGGTAGAGGATCATAATGAAAACACAGGAAATAAAACGAAAACCTGGAAGTTCCGGAAAAAGATGAATAATTGTTTGAAGTGCAACCCTAAAATAAAACAAACATTTGCTATTGAACATTCTGGCACAGGCAGCATTACATCTTCTCATATTGAGGATAAGTGATATAACGGATTATTCTGATGAGACATAGAGAAAGGTTTTTAAAAGGTTTAAAAACACCYTACCAGAAAAATAAAAAGGAGAGATGTTAGTCTTTCTTCAGCGCTATGCAAAAAGACGAAAAAAGGCATAACCGAAAAGATTTTAAAAATTATAAAAGATAAAAAAAGAATGCTATTCCCGATTCCTGGAAGTGCTTAGATAGAAGTGGTTCTACAACAATGTTTATTAGCACATACATATCGAACATTGCAATCCAGGGCGAGGTTTTCATGAAAATATTTTTGTTGAAGCTAATTATTACAGTTTTGCTTAATATATACTTAACTCATCTGTTGTAATGAACCTAAGCATAAACTSATAAAAGTTCATTTACGTACCGGGTAAACACATTTTAATTTGTTACTTATTAAATCTTGTTCCTTTAAACTTTATGTTATAGACATAATTACAAAATCGCTGTCAGCTTAAAATTCTTAGAAACAGTGAAACCTCTCTGAGCGGACACCCAGATAAGACGAACACCTCTTTAAAACGGATACCTTTTTGCAGTCCCTGCCYGTTAATGGTCATTTTACTGTATTTAARCTCTCTATAAAACGAACACCCCTACAAGACGGACTACGGACACTTTGAAAAGGTCAACGGACAGGGCATCYACACGTTACTGTTATTCATGGGATAAAAATTGCAAAAATAWACGAAAGAAATTGTGATTTGATTACGTAGATAAATAAATACTAASGAATTAAATGTATTTTAAAGCTTGAAATTTTTAATTGTYGTACACAATACTGTACGGCATACGTGTACAGTGTTCATTTACAGAACTCAGAATGACTACACATSTRTTCTGCACTAACTACAGTTATGTGTACAGTAAACGGTGTAAATAAATTTGAATRCGTTATGTAYAATGTACGATATTTYAACATTTAAAACTGTGATAGAAAYTATTAAAGTGCTAACAATCTACAGTAGATTTGGTATCATTTGTACATGCATTCTCACATCATTGTGCAAGTTTTTATATCAGGTGTCACATTACGTAATGTATGYATAAGATGGATACCTCTCTAAGATGGACACTTGGCGCCGGTCCCGAGAGTGTCCGTCTTAGAGAGGTTTCACTGTAGTACAACTTAGAGCAAAAACCCTAAATTCTTGAAGATAAAATTGATAGGCTGTAATTGTTTTTGATTAGTTACTATTTAGATCTTATTAACCGAGCGGGAGGTCTGTACGGGATAATCTTGACCGAGGTCGGAATGTACAGACCAAGCGCAGCGAGGTCTGTGCCCCACCGAGGTCAAGATTATCTCGTACAGACCGACCAAGCTCGGTTGATAAGAGTTTTATTATATGACCACTTTTCATTRAAAAGGACAAAATGTTTTCGCCGTAAGATTAATATGCGATCGGACCGGTTAATACCGGAGAATCTAGACCAGTCCGCGATGCGATCTATCCAATCAGATTGCTCGATTTGCTAGTGTCCAGGCTCTAAGATTCACGGTCATATAATAATAAATACTATTAGTCATTTAACCGGAACAGTCAATTCCCAGGAAACATCAAGTACACTTGACACATTTTTGTCTACTTTATTATTTTTCTTTTTATGCGTTTTACTGGTGAAAAAGTTACCAAACGTATAAGGTCGTGAACTGCTTTAATAACCAGAGCATTCCACAATAACATCCTTCGTGTGACTCTTGCAGTTGGAACTGACAACTCCCCATCCAGCGTGAGGACAGTCCTGAAGTGATGCTTCCGAACCTGTGCATGCCATGTTGTCCATCCACACTCTACCCTTTCCTTCTCYATTGTAGTAGTAATTTACATATTTGCTAAAACCTAGCTGGCGACACGCAACGGTGGCTTCATTACCGCCCCAGTTATCTTGACACGCTGTTCCCCATTCACCGTTATGATAGACTTGTACAAGACCAGCACCAACATCAGCGCCTCTTGTATCAGGTTGAAATTGTTAAGTACAATAAGTGTTTGTAAGCCGAGTTAAGATTCATGATTTTCATGACTTTCGAGCATCTTGCTCTTCATCAGGGCAAACGGTTGTGACTTAAAACTGTCACAACCGTTTGCCCTGATGCTGAACAAGATGCTCGAAAGATTGGCTTGAATTATAATTAAAAAGCTGATGAATCAAAATTATCATGAATTGTTAAGTATTTGTAGAAGTAAATATTCATATGAAGATTCGTTGCTGATTCGTTGCATAAAGGAATATCCGCCATGTCAAAATCCAAAGAAAAGTAAGATAACTCGAGCATGAATTATGGAAGACGTAAAATTAAATTTCTTTCTTCGTAGTTTCGATATCAATCTGTGGCTTTTTTCGTAAGATAATTATTATATTTTTTGCAGTAGATAATGCGTATATTTTTACACACAACAAAGTGATATTTTTGAATACAGTAGAAAATATTTTCCTTCACATGCCTTTTCTTCTTAAAAAAGTTATCAAAATAGTTAGCTCGAAATATACTTAGATAAACAGAGCATATCAAAATAACATCCTCTGTGTGATATTTGAAGTGTGGCTGACAACTCCCCATCCAGCGCGAGGACAGTCCTGAACTCTGAGTCCAGGCCTCTGAGCCTGCGCATCGCATGACATCCAACCACACCTTGCCTTCCCCTTGGTCGTAGTGGTAGCAATATACAGCTTTGGTAAAACCTAGTTGCATGAAACATGGGTTTCATTCCAACTCCAGTGATCCTTGCAGACCGTCTCATTTCAATCTATGAAAAATTCATCATCAATCGATATAACACTGATATTACCTCCAGGACATTATCATTAGTATAGGAAATTATATGATTTCGAGTGCAATTTGGAATAAATTTGAACGAGCTTGTTTTGGAGTACAATTTGAGCTCTTCGGAAACCCACTAGTTCAAACTAATTCTAAATTGCATAACAAAAACCATATGATTTCCTTTTAATAAAAAACATGCAAAAACTATGAGCGCAAGATGACGTTATGATGGCGTCAGAAGCGAGCCTTTTTCGACCAGACATTTATTCAAAAAGCGAAGAAAATTTTTATTTTTTGGAATTTTCTTCATCATAATTGCTCCTTTACCATCGATATTTCCAGTGGAACTTGTGCCTTCCCTGAGACGCCGGAAGTAGAGCAATTCCATTTCCAGTCAGTCACTACCACTGAGGTTAGTAATGTGGTTTTGAAAAATGCCATCGAAAAAAGCCCCTGGTTTTGACAAAGTGCCTATCAGGGTCATCAAAGATTGTCTCCCGCATATTTTATCCATGTTCACATGTCTAATAAACAGCTCTTTTGAATCCAGTACGTTTCCAAAGGCGTGAAAAAAGGCCGAGGTTGTCCCACATTTAAAAGATGGGGACTATGAACTGCCCAACAACAACCGACCACTACACTCCAGCCAGCTCTTTCCAAGATTCTCGAGAGGGTAGCTCTTAACCAATACCGGACTTCTTGGCTAAAAAAAGAAATTAACACCGCACCAGATTGGAAACAGAAAGCTACATTGCACGGAAACCCTTGGCCTTTTCGTCTCTGGCCATATCTTCAATGCAATAGATGATAAAAAAAAGTCACAGCCGTGGTCCTAATTGATCTGAGCAAAGTCATTCCATCCTCATCGCCAAGCTGCGGGATCTGGGAACCTCATCAAGCGCTCTGGTAAAGGTTAAAAAATTATCTAAAGGATAGACTGCAGTCTACTTGTGTGGGTCCATCAATCTCCAGTCCCCTTACTGATACCCTTTTTGAGCTKATTATATCCTGAGTATTTAAAGCTATTTCTCGCAAACATAGTTAAAATGTAAGTGTACGTAACGTTTTTACCGATGAATGGTCAAATTTCGCTTTGAAGACAATAACGTGAGCTGCAACAAATAAAAACTTATTTTAAAGATTTCTACATAAACAATGTTTATTCAGCTTTCAGGGAATGCATACTTTTTTGCGTTATACTGTAAAGCGAGCGCGTTATTTAAGTTCGCGCGCATTGTGGTCGTAAACGTATCCTGATTCCTCTTAAGGAATTCTAGAAAGAAATTATAGAAAACTATAGAAGTTCTTAAAAGATGTCCACTTGCAATTGAGTGTCAGAGGCTCTAGAATGCCTTTCCCTAATGAAAATTACTTTTTACAAGAATTCCGTTAACATGTAAATGCAGCAGGTGTTTTGTAGATATTTTCTTAGTATCTTTTATCAAGCATCTTTTAAAAGTAGTGCTCTGGAAAACCGGAAACACCTATACAAGAGACAAGGTAGTTTGAAAGGTGAAAAACTCGGAAAATCTAGAAAACTCAAGTAAGGAATGTGTACCAAAAAATAACCAGTAACAGGAAATATTTAGGGAAAGCCAGATGAGGTTTTGATCATGAGGTACATGGCCAATACATTAATTACGGTTAGCTTTTGCACATTCTGACACCGCTACATAGACACAGGAATTGAAAGAAAGAAATACAACGCCATCTCTGATTCTACAGATGTCTTCATCGAAGAGATAGCTCCCCTCAGTGGCCACTCGTTGTTGACGAAGAAAAAGTGCGCGGATGAAACAACTAACTTTAGACTTTTTATTATTTGAAATATGCATTCGCATCATTGCAATAGAAGTAGAACMAACAGTGGAACGTTAATGCACCATATGCAAATCCTCGGAAAATAGAGTTCCATAGGTAGTACAGATACCTCTTCCATGGGTTCAGGGTTCGATTTGTTATTGAAACGTGAAACTTTCAATATATATACCCCAAATGTATTGGACAGGATACCGTCGATTGCATCTACCCGTTAACCCACGTGAACAAAACATGYTTTCGCGTGACGTCCARCATCTATGTTTGGCATATCAAAGTTCAAAGTTTTCCCGCCTTCAAAGAAAGTTTACGAGGCTATGTTTTCAATAAACAAAGGAAGAAATTATCAAAATRGTGTTCCACTTTCTATAGATATTAGAAATCAAGTMATTGAACTTGCACAGTATCATTCTTTTGCAGAAGTTGGACGTAACAGTTTCAAATATCGTCAATTTAAGCGGAAGCACGTCTTCGAATACATTATCACACTCGAACCGCTTTCTATAAGTGTTCATTCCAAGACTCGATTMTCCTGGAAACTATAGTCCAATCAAGCAGTTCRTCTTCTCTCAAAGAMGKGCGCGAGCAATTATCCATTCACGGGAAAGCTATCAACATCAACAATTTCGAGGAATATAAGAAAGCAACTTCCAAGCGGYCGTCAATACTCACGAAAAAGACTGGGCAAATGTGCTTCAGAGCGTTTTACCCGGAAAATTATAGTGTACACCCAGTTGTACCTTGACTATTTGTCAGACAAAGATCCTTCGTCTGTAAAGTTCTTTGTCGAATCAGGATTTCAGCTGCCCGATGCTGGACACAAAAACTATGGCTATTCACCGGTCGGTGAAACTTGCATTGAAGTACGCAGTTACTTGTCTACCGCAAACCTAACACTCAACTTTCTTGTTGGGTTTGATGGAGTTAAATGTGGTAAAACTATAGAAGAAGCGTCAAACGCGGTACAGTTTTTAAGATTCTTCGATGAAGCATCACAAACAGTCGATCCAATAACACAAATACCAATTTTAGAAGTTGGTGACATTGCAGTTGTCAACAATCTGGCCGCACATCACGGTGAAGCTGAAAGAGCTCTCAGAAGATTTTTAAATGATCTTGGAATGGAACTCCTTTTTCTCCCAGTATACTCACCTGATATGTATGCTGTTGAAGAGGTATTTTCGAAGTTGAAATACTTGTTGAACTACAGGTACAGCGAACTTGTATTTCAAAACCTGGAATACGCCGTTCTCATGGCGATTGAGAATGTCACCGCAGCTGATCTGTATGGATATTATAAACATGTTGGGTATTTAGTTTAGAATAGCATTTAATTGCTAGGTCTACTATTCATTCTTGAGTGATTATTTATAAAGCATTTTATGTCTAAATCAGCTGTTATTGTCTCGGCTTAATTAGCTGTCTGCCGGTGTTGTGTTTGAATAGTTTGAAGATGAAGATTGAACATGATTATAAAAAAAATATGTACATCTATTTGTAAAAGTACATAATAAATCGTTGTTGTTTTCAATATTTATTTAGGTGTGTAAATTTTTAATAACTCAAGGCAGAAGGGACATTTGCCGTCGGCATACGAGTAAGAGAGCGGCGCGTAGTTGTCTACGAACAGMAACTGTAACATAACGCCTTCAAACAAACTTTTCTTTAATATRCAAAAAGATTGCAAGTCACAATATATAGAACTCTTAACAAATTTCAGTTTCAAGCAAAATATCATATATATGTATTTTGTTTTCAAGCTTTGCATAGCAATTTTACACATGTACGGGACCCAAAAGGGTGTACAATTACTAAATATAAACTTACAACAAAGTACAATAGCCAACGTTCAGTTTTACTGTAACGTTTCAGATTGACAAGGAAATTTTTAATATCAACCAATCCAATCAACGTGGATCTCAACTAAATACAAGCACTTTGTCCAAACATAATCAATTCAACTGACAACATCAAAACAGTTCGTTTGTTTGTAATTGCATTCTGATTCAGGTATTTGATGATGTAAAAGACAGCAGAATATTRGCTGCGTCCGTTTCGTTCTCTTCTGATGAACTACTACTAGCTGTACTAGCAAGGGACAACTGTTTTGCCATGCAAATCTGCTCTTCTTCTTCCTCTTCCGTTGATGGTGCCAGTAGTGAGTGACTAGTATTAGTAGTTAGTGCTAGTATTCCTTTCGTTATTTCTGTCTGGAAAATGTAAGCCGTAGCTTGTCAACGTTTGCTGGATTGGAGTTTGCTTGCGCAGAGTTGTCACKTTTTGCTGTGCTGTTAGAAGAGGAGAAATTCCAAGACTTTGTTCATACTCATCCAACTTGTTTCTTCCAAGGAGGGCTTTAATGGTTTCGCGTCTCGGCGGTCCGCTTCCCTTCAATAGCTTTTTAACGAACGCTATGTCCTGTTGTATTTTTAACCAGTTTCGTGATTCATTTTGAACGTATTCATCGTGGTATTCTTCAAGTAAAATGTCTTCGAGTAGTTTATTTACAGAGTCACGGACCCTATCAAATGCTGCTTCGCGAGATAATAGTTCCTGATCGAGCTTCGATATTGCATTTTCTAATGCTCTTATTTCTCCCTTTTTCTCTTGAACCTTCATTTTTTCGTTTGAGTGTTGCGTTACAGTCAAACAGGCTCATGCGTTGACCCCTAGAGTCGATTAATGATTTGAATTTTCGAATTTTTGATTTCATTATTCAGTTGAAATTTACAACGTCGAAAACGAAGATATGRAAATTCCAATCAACTTTAAATTCAATATACGACTAACAAAGGATGAAGACCTAGAAAACATGGTGGCCAGAAATACTCTTGGCCGTGTTTATGTGCCGGGAAAGCCTTTACCTGATATTATTCGACAGGAAATTGTTCATATCAGCGATAGCGGATTGCCTAGTAAGCAATTTCGCGACAACTGAAAATTTGTAGTTGGGGAGTCCAGAAAATACTTCAACATTATCGACGACATGGAACTATGTCTCCATTCGCTCAATTCGGGAACGTTCCCTACAAAATTACTGAAGATTTCCTCCAAGTAATTGAGGTATGGGAAATTACAAAACCTAGTGYGTATGCTAATGAAATAAGAGACTTCTGCTCGAAGGTATCTGTAATTTAGATGATTTACCTTCTTCATCACGAGTCGAATAATGAACTAAATTTTCATTTGAATATTGCAATGTTGCATTATTCCGGTTCGTACGTATAAAAGGAATAATTGACTAATGATTTCATTAATAGGGGTCAACGCTTGAGCTTGTTTGGCTGTAAGTCCCCACAAAAAAATGCAGATTCACACTTCTCCATTTGACAGCTTCTCACCAAATGATTTCGGTTGTGACAATTACTGCATCGCTGCCCGGTGTTATCGTGTGCGCTGGCAGCCTCCTTTATCTAAAGTTGATAGTTTWCGAGTTCTTTTCGTTTGTGAGCAACTTCGATCCTTTTCTCCTCTACATTTTGACAGTATATCCAAAGACGATGTATCATTTTAAGTGTTTAAGAACCTTCACTYCTAATTATCTATATCGGAAATTAACACTTCTTCAGAAATGCTTAGTACATTCGCCCAGTATATCCCTTGCTCGAAACCTAACAGTATCTGAAATGTATATAATAGCTAGATTACAACAAACATAAGTTGTGCATTTCGGTAGTAATTGATGAAAAGGCAGCAAAATTATATTGGAACCAGCACAGACTAGTTTCCTGATCAATGCGCCCTTTGAAATGCTGGCAACCCCTGCGAACGTGATTAGATGGAAAATGTCAGGGGAAGATAAGTGCAGATGTGACAAATATGGTACGCTACGACACATCCTGTCAGCCTGTCCCCTTGGTCTAAAATAGAGTTATACATGGAAAGAAACAACCACGTCTTGAAGATTATTTTAAAACCGAGGCAGTTTAACGATGGAAAACATCGGTCACTGTCCTAATCGAACATCACAATAACATCTTCCGTGTGATTCTTGCAGTTAGAGCTGACAACTCCCCATCCAGCGTGTGGACAGTCCTGAAGTGAGGCTTCCGAACCTGTGCATGTCATGTTGTCCAACCAAACTCTACCCTCCCATTGTCCATTGCGGTAGTAMGTTATATATTTGCTAAAACCTAATCGGCGACACGCAACAGTGGCTTCATTCAATTCCCGTCCTATTCCCCATTCATTCATTCACCAAAAACCCTTCTCATAACCCGCCCTCTTAAATATACTTCAATAGCTTTATATAAGAATGGACTTGTGAACTATACCAATACGAACCAACTGACACGACTTATAGTGGTTTKTTTTAGTTTTACCATTTTTTAAAACATACATTTCGTCATCAATAATATTGAGCAACAACTGAATAAAGATTGACGTTGTTGTTTTGAGTGCTAAAKCTCAAAAACARCAGTTCCTGGCCGCTGTWCAAAACAATKAAGACGGTATACACTGTATATATTTTTCAAAATGCCTCTATAACGTAACATTGCCCAAACATATTCCCTCCAAAAAGAAGCATCCCMGAAAATAAGGCCAAAAAGGTACATTAAGCAAATACAACCGAAGAGCTTATTTTCCGCGGTAAGATCTTATGCAGCGTGAGGATRGGAGCCTGTAATTATAAATCGCATTTCGTCTAACCRCAATCGACCTTTCCTTTACCTTGTRGGTAAGTGTTTAGGTAGATAGGTAGGTAGATAGATCGTTAAGAAGGTCCTTATAAAAATGTACGYTCGCRATAATACATAATCYGACTGCTTTGATAACCAGAGCATTGCACAATAACATCCTCMGTGTGACCCTTGCAGTTGGRWCTAACAACTCCCCATCCAGCGTGAGGACAGTCCTGAAGTGAGGCTTCCGAGCCTGTGCATCGCATGTCGTCCAGCCACACTCTATCCTTTCCTTGTCCATAATGGTAGTAACTTACATATTTGCTAAAACCTAGTTGTCKGCAAGCAACTCCCCATCCAGCGTGAGAACAGTCCTTAAGTGAGGCCTCTGAGCCTGTGCATCGCATCTCATCCAACCAMACTCTACCCTCCCATTGTCCATAGTAGTAGGTATTTATATGTTTRCTAAAACCTAGTTGTCGGCAAGCTACGGTGGCTTCATTCCTGYCCCAGTAATGTCGACACACCGWTCCCCTTCACCGTTATGATACACTTGTRCAAGACCAGCACCATAATCGGCGCCTCTTCTACTGCTTTACCTTTTTCTTTCTTTTCCATTCATTTAAACTTATCGTTGCTCAGTAAGAAATCATGCTAGGATTACACGACGTTTTCTTTACCGATAACAAATATATTTTTATCATCTTTYTAGTGAAGACTATCACTAGTTATACTCGAAACGTCATGTTTTTACCAAATCTACGTGATTTATCCATAATCTTACATTCAATATGAAAGGTATTTAAAGTGAAACGTGATCGTCCGGGTGAGTGTAGTCTTGCGAAAGACGGTTGTTAGTGGTGACTGTCGTCTCGACAACCTGAGCGGAAGTCATCTTCAGAGTTCAATGAGAAAACAAGAGACAGTCGATGGTATTTATGGTATTTACGACCGAACCAGAGGTAATCTCGTTTTGAGATTCGCATGTAAACCAGGTTTGATAATCAAGGTGATAAGTGTTTTTATAGATGACCAGCTAAGCTGGAAACATTAACTTTGCATCATTTGCTTAAGTGGTTGTGGGTGCTTGTGGGTGCCAGGTAAGTTTTTCATTATTAACATCGTTAAAAAATTCAAATCCTTTTARGTAATCTCTTCAGACACTCAAGTTATTTCAAAAAAATGCAGCTATGTATATGTAGTAATCGATTATAAGATTTGCTAGATAATTTCATTAATCTATTCATTTTTCCTATAACATAGAGTAATCAATTTGCACTCCAACGTGTGTATCCATATTTGACCAGTTTATTAATCAATAATTAGTAATTTATTTAAAGGACTAATAAATATGTACGTATGTTGTACACTAATTCAACTTCAATTTGACCATAGTTCTTTTTTATTGAGTTCGTTTGCCCGAAATGGAGCTTGCTGCAGAAGCACTAAAGATTCCTGAAATAAAAGACATTCAATTTGGGTTATCCGATCATAAATCTTCTTCAAAAGGGAGTAAGGAATTCCGATAACTTAACACGCATAAATGACATAGTGAAATCTAGTATGAAGGAATGGTTGTTATTWAGAAGCGATTTGCGTAACTTTGCCACGATTTGAATGAATGGTTCCTGATCAGTCTTAATTACATGAAATTCTAGACCCAATCATTGGGACGAATAGTCCTTCACTTTCCCTTAAAA